GCCAAGGCTGAAGCGAAACTGGACTTTCCAGCTCCGCGGCCATGGTCTCGTCTCGGACCGCTCGCTCCCAGCCTGGGCTCTGCCACCTTCTTTTGGGATTCTCCTCGCAGATTTTGAGGATTTATTTTTTCCCCGACTGCCAAAGACTTTACCCCTCTGCCTGTATTTCCCGTTACATTTTACCCCTTTCTGCCTGGATAAAAGTGGGGCTGGTGTAGCTGGCCAGTCCTGTGATAGATTTAGTGCTCTCACATAGGGCTCAGAGAGGGAAAGGATGGCATTTTTTTTAAGCGGTAACACGACTTAATAAGCCGAATCGTATTATCAAGTTATGAAGACTTCCTGGACGCGCAGAAACCCACTGACAGGTTTTCTTACGTTTTGATAGATTTAGTGCTGTTACGGTACAATTCTCCCTCACATTCAGTAGCTAAGACTTTAAGATTAAAGATCGCACACCTCTAGATGAATCAAAGCCTACACTCCGGAGCAGCTAATACATTTCATGATTGATTTCCCCCTGCACTGCTTCCAGTTTCAGCCTCATGTGAAACCCGTTTCTCCTCTCCGCACATTGCACTGGCACAGCTTTGACGTGCTAGCCGGATCCCGCAAGGCAGTGAGAGGAAGTTTGTATCTTGCGAGTCTCAACCCAGAATCTTTTTGAAAGACATCCTTCTGGCCCAAAGCGCTCTCAAGAAAAGTTTTAAACTGCAACTAACTGAAGTAGCCTTTTCGTTTGCCCAGGTGGCGAGGCCACACCGAGCCATCGCGATGTAGTGGAACAAAAATAACCTCCCAACGGGAGTCAGAATAGCCTTGTGTGCAGGGACTTTGCTGTCGCTCAGTGTTAGGTCCGAAGGTCTAAGCCCCGGGGCGTGCCCCAGGCAGGCTGGCGTACCGGCAGTGCCCCAGGCAGGCTGGCGTTTGGGAGACCCACCAACCCCATAAGCCGGGAGGGGGACCCCGCTGCCCCGCTCGCACTCAGGACTCGGCCGCCGCAGCCCAGTTCGGAGACTGCAGCTCTCGTCGGCAAAGGCGTTCAGTCCAACCCGTAAGGCTGTCTTCCTTCCGAAACCAGCAGTACGTCTTTATTTCCCAACGCAGAGTTTGTTTTTCTTTTTCTCTTTTTCTTTTTTCCACTCTCGAGCCCTTGTAGCTTTTATGGCTAAGCAAACTCAGGACCAAATCGATAACTGTTATTTACGGAATGGAAAGGGTTAATCGCCGCTGTCGCTTTGGGGTTTGGTTTAGGTTTTTTTTTTTAGTTCCCTTCCCTGCAATGCATATAATCTCATTTGAGCCCCTGAACGTGGTGAAAGCGACTGACTGTTGTACAGAAACACCGACTTTTAGCAGAGTCCTGCAGTCCCCTTCTCAAAAGTAAATAAATAAAAAACAAGAAAAAAAAACAAGAAAAGGTATAATTAACATATACTTTCGGAAGTGTCTCAAATACGTATAAATCCCGTTTTATGCCTTCCCATTCACGTGTATATTGATATCATAAAAGAGAAATCCTTCGGCAGGATTTTTCTCTAAATACCTTATTCATTGAAACTGGCAGTTCCACTCATTATTCCACTCCCTTAAACTCGATTCTGATGCTGGCTAAATATAGAGCTTCGCCTTCCTGGGAACGCGAATCGAATACACAGTAAGCAAATCAGTAGCACAGGAGGGGAAAAAAAACCTTGATCAGAGCCCTCCTTTTCTTCCCAATCCTGGTTTGTTGGGGCGGAGACAGGTTTCTCGCTTATTGCACATCATTTGCAAGGATCAAGCCTAAAATGCAATCACCTCTCCTAGAAGTAGTAGGTTAAAAAAAAAAAGTTAGGGGGTGGAGGTTAATAGAATTAAAACCAGACTGACTTATTTTCGAACAAAGGTGTATCACTGGGAAATGAGATGCATTATTTCAGAGCTAGGAGGGGCAAAATAAACTACATATATTTTAATCAGGACACATTTTAAAATTAAATGCAAACGTCTTTGGGGAAGAATGCATAGAACGGAGTACAGAAAAACACCTTCCATATTTAAGTCTCCCATAAAATCCAAGGATTCTTTTCTCGATCACTGCGATTAGACTCTTTTTTTCTTTTGTTTTTTGTTAATTACCTACGTTCGGGTTTTTTGCCAATTCGCAGTGCGTCGAGGTCACCCTGGGGACCGGCGGGGTGTTGTTTCTCAGCATGCCACGTTCAGCGGGGATTATTTTTGCAGAATACCACGCAGAAAGGCACAAAAGGTCAGAAACGCGCCTATCCTGGCGGAGCCGCGGTCGCCGCCCTTGGCCAGCAGAGGTCGCCGCTGCGCCCGCGCGG